AATGACAGTCTTCATAAGATGAAAGAACAGAGTTTACTTAGGCTAAAGATGTTTGTACATGCCGGCAAAATGAGAAGACAATAGAAATTGAAAAACATTTTTATTTGTGTATGTAACTTCAAATTTAGAACACTCAGAATCAGTATGAACAAGAACTATTTTCTGACAAAGATTTGAAATTGGGGAAGTGAATTACTCTAACAGGTGCACATCAACCTCTCCATGCAATTTACATCTGTATCTTACGCAGTGAAAAAATGGGTTACACAGCTCCATAACTGCAGTATTTTTAACACTCCATTTTGCAGTCTCAGAATACTTTTCAATTAAACTGATCCACATGTTTAAAGATGAGAAATAATGTGTTTACACTGTAAAGTTGAGTCATAGCTAATAAATGCACATTTCCTTCCATTAATAAAATCTGGAACAATTTATGGTAAACAAAAATCTATCCACAATATCAGTAATCTAACAGTTCACACTTTTACTGAACACTTCCTGTGAGCCAGGCCCCGCAGTTAACAGCTGAACATGCAATTTCACATTCAATGTGGAATAGGAAGTGTCACAGGTTCGCATGTTTTTCACAACTGATTATGATGGCCATGATGACAGCATGCACTAAGCGCTGTCCAACCAGCTCTTTACCTGGCATCGTAGCCAGCAAGATCCGCTAGCAGCTCACAGTGCTTGCGTGCACAATTTTAGAATGTTACATGAATACTCAGGCCTGACTAATCCTGCCCTCCAAAAACAAACGTAACAGGACTAAGCCTTTACTACTCAGACACATCTGTAAGACCCCACAGGGACAAGGACAGTAGCTGTGATCTAGGTCTGCACTAAAGCTGCCTTTCCTGGGACTCAGAAGTGCCCTTCCAGGCCTAACTGCAGAAGGGTGGCCTCAGCCTCCTCCTCCTCTTCCTTGGCTTCCTCCTCACGGATCTGCACCAGCAACTCAAAGAGGTTTGGGGCCGGCCCTTCCCCAGCCCCATTAAGCCACAGCTGCCTTCGGATGGCCCCGCTTTGGTTGGCCCCGGCAATGACCTGCTCTAGACGGGCCTGGTTCACATTATCTTTATCAATGGCCCCCTTCTCCACCATCTTCTGTAGCAGAGGCTCCAAACGAATGACATAAGCAGACAACTTTTCTCCCGGGTTCTGATAAGTGTTCAGAAATTTGACCTGGGCATCCCTAGAGCTCTCAACGCTCCCAAACACCTGCTCAAGCGCCTGCAGGCATTCGGCAGTAGTTATCGCGGGGTTGTTGGTCTTGAGGATGCGAATGACATCAGCGGCGGGGCCTCTAAGACTCTCCATCAACCGCCGCCTCTTTTCTGTATCGGGTACCTGCCACTCCTCTAGGACCTCATTAGTGTGCTCCAGCCAGGGATCAAAGGTTTCCTCTCCAGGCCCTGGGATGTCCCTCCCCGAGAAAAGTGTCAGCTTCTTGTACCAAATGGACTCAACAAGAGGCTGAATAACATTATCCAAAATATAGTTTAGCATCTCTGCTGGCATCTCTGGGACCGGGGTCGGAGTAGGGTTCTGAAACCCAAGGACACGGGCAACATCCTGCACCGTCCAGCCTTCTCTAGCTAGGAAGAGGTGCAATCTTTCTAAAAATTCAGCATCGGAAGTCGGGGGCTTAAAGAACACTTTCCAGACTCCTCCTTTGCCCGGCATTTCCCTGGGGATTGTGGCGTAATCGACAGCGCCAGTGAGCTCTAATAAGGCTGCTTTCGCATTTTCTTCCCTCCAGAACATTCTCCCAAGCACTCGGTAGGGCACCTGGGGCATCGCAGCCTGGAGGGTCTCTTCGATTTCAGCCTCATCACAGTTCACTGGGATGCCCCAGACCAACAGAGCTCTCTGGGAGTTCACATCCATTCCCCGACACCAGTCTTCCAACAGTATCATCGCCATTTTCTCAACTACCAAGACGCCAACTCTACCAACAGACAGTGGCTCACCGTGCTCCTGGCCTTAGAACAACGCCAGAGACTCCCCCCAAGTAGGCCCAAGGGAGGCAAGCTTCACGCAGTCACGATTAACAAAGACACAGAGTCCTGATCTCGCCCTTCCCTGCCCCCACAGTCAGTCCGTGGACGCACTCGGAGCCGAGCTCGGGGATGCTGAGGCGGTCACGCAGCCGTCGCCATCTTGCGTCTGGGTCCGGATCCGGGTCCGCTGCCAGCAGCCGGGGCGTCGCGTTGTCGTGGAGCGGGCAAGGAGCGAGGGCGGGCGGCGAAGGCAGGCGCGATGGGCCGAGAACCGCCGAGGTGTAGTCGCGGGGCGTGGTCGCCGGGCGCTCGCTGCGGCTACCGGTCTGGCGTTCGCGGTCGCAGCCTGGTCTTCCGAGGGCGAGGAGCGGTCGTTTGGGAGACCAGGCACAGGCAGACTGTGCCGAAGTCGCGGCGGCTGCGGGCCAGCGGAGAGCGGCTTCTTGGTGGGAGCAGGGACTCCTCTGGGCGGGTGGCGAGGACCGCCGAGGACCAGAAACGAAGGCAACAGAAGAGCAGGAGAGCCGGAGAAGCCGGGCTGGAGACAACAGAGGAGAGAGTGAGCAGCGGCGGCCGCGACAGTCTGCAGCGGCTCAGGCGCTGCGCAGCTACCGGAACGTCGTGTCCTACCCGCAACCTGCCGCGACGTTACTGCAGCAGTGAAGGGTGGGGCCAGCCCGTGAGCGGCGTCTGCCCCGCCCCGCCACGCCCCCGCGGCGGAGCCGCTCGGGTGTCGCCATGGCAACGGTGTCCCAGACGGCGCGAGACTCGCCTGCTCCCGCTGCCCACAGCGGCGGGGCGGGGGGATGGGGGTGGGGCGGAATCGAGCGGTTGCCATGGTGCCAGCGAGGGGCCGGGGCACCTGTTTCTCTGATGGCGCATTTTCTTTCTTTCTTTTTTTTTTTTTAACAGAGAACAAAGACTGCTAAGCACCGTATTTTAAAAATAACCCAATCCCGGAGTGAATTCAAGATGATACTGTTGGAAATGCATCCCTCATGGTGGACTTGTCTACTCAGATTGCTCAGCCAGTCCACCCTGCACGTGAAAATATCCTCAGAACCCTAGCTTCCCTGTTCCCCCGACCACACTCTGCACCCTGCACATTTTACCCCCATGGAGCCAAAATGTCGGAGTGTGCCATTTATGTATATTTGTGTCAGATACGGAGTTGAGACTTTTTCTTATCTAAAATTTTGTAAAAAAAGATGTTTGTCTATGTCTACTCAGTCATCTTTTAGCCAGGCAAACACTAATGTTACTTCCCATTTCCAGGCTGGCATCATTGACAATAGGCTGCTAAAAGAGAATCCGTATGGTTCAAAAATGTTGAGTAATCTACGTGCAAGCAAGACAAGGCCCACTTACATCAATCCCAGATAGTGAAAATCCCAGAGAACACAGCATTCAACTCTGAATTTTTAAAACCTTATTTAATAAAAGGTTTAAAGATACAGAAGAACATTCAAAAGTAAATAAGTTACATAGGTACATTACAATCACATCAGCAAGATTCTTTAGTGTATTAATTTTTTTCTTATAAAAAGCACACAAAAAATAAAATCTTCAGTCTCTATCACAACTGTACAGCAAAAGAGGTAATATTTATATATATATGTACACTATTTTAATATGTAACAGTCTTTTTAAAAAATGGTGCCACAGGCAGCAAACACAAAAAAGGCAGTGTCTGATCATTTGTTTCAAAATAAAAGGAATATACTTATTTATATGCTATTAAAATATTTGTACAATAATTACAGACTGTCAAGGCTGTTCCTGTGCTGTCCCCTCCAACAAGGCCTTCAACTTAGAGACAAATGAGGAAAAAGTGAAACAGCTGCAAATTGTTAGAGGCAAATATTAACATAGCAAATGTGGGGAGGACACAATTGTTTTATAAAAATATGCCTACTTCCTGTAAACCTATGGAGTTAGGCTTGCCGGTCTGATAATAAATACCGTCCCAGAAAAGTAAGCCCCAGTGAAAACAGCTAAACAGCTGAGGCTTGTGTATGTGTTGTATTCCTCCTTCATCTTAACATCTGGCACATGAGAAGAAAGAGGTTAGGTCACTGAGGCAGTTAAATATAGGCGATCCCTTTAGACATAAGCAGCAAAAGACTTGGTGTCGGGGTGGAGGGGGGCGCGGCAGAAGGGGTGGTGTGTATCTTAGCTGTGAGAGAGGCTGCTGAAGGCATGGAGGACAGTAATGACGGCTCTGCCTCCTTGGATGGGTAGAGACCTCAGAAATGGTCTGCAACACAGGCACTAGGTCAGTTTCCCGCCCTTAGCTGAATGCAGATGGAGGCTGGGAGATGGATATGGTGAGATGGCATGGGGAGGATGTTAGAAATATCACTTCTCAAAGAGCTCTGAATAAAGGGAAAAAACAACAACAAAAGACAAGCCTAATGTGTTCCCAGGGAGAAAGCACCATTGAAGATAGACCTATGCCAGCTTCTATAGCTGCACCTTGGCAGGTCACTTGCCGCAACTGCATCTGCCCTCTAAACTTTTTAATTTTCACACTTTATCCTCGACATGAATGCATCCTGGAGCATGGACCTTCCTAAAATATGGTGCCTGGCAGGATTAATGCAGAGAGGTACCATCTTGATTTTCCCCAATTACATTCATCTGGCCTGGTCTCTGTATGCTTAGAAGAGTAGAATCACTTTCTTATTTTAAAAGATTTCTGGCTGGGAGCAGTGGCTTATGCCTGTAATCCCAACACTTTGAGAGGCCGAGGCCCGCAGATCACCTGAGGTCAGGAGTTCCAGCCTGGCCAACATGGTAAAATCCCATCTATACTTAAAAAAAAAAAAAAAAAAAACGAGAAAATTAGCCGGGTGTGGTGGCATGGGCCTGTAATCCCAGCTACTCAGGAGACTGAGGCAGGAGAATCGCTTGAACCTGGGAGGCAGAAGTTGCAGTGAGCGGTGATTGCACCACTGTACTCCAGCCTGGGCGACAGAGCAAGACTCCATCTCAAAAAAAAAAAAAAAAAAAAAAAAAAAAAGATTTCCAAGTACTAGATGTTACCATTGAACAAAAGGGTCTCATGTGAATGAAGGAGGTTTCTGTTACCATATGCCCATCAAAAGGGTCTCATGTGAATGAAGGAGGTTTCTGTTACCATATGCCCATAAAGGGGCCTGAAACCAAATATGGTTTGAATAGAAAAAACCTTGGGAAACATAAGTAGCACTTTGGGGCTAAGCTGCAAAGGCACTCGTATTATACAAATAATTTCGAACAGAACCTAAATTTGCTACTCCCCTGCTTCTAGAGGGTGTATCAGATTTTTGCTGTCTTGGGACACTGAGCTCATGGAAGCCTGTGGAAGAAACTAACCAGGAAATTGGGGATCTAGGTAGTCATCCAAGAGTGAGGGGAGGAAGAAATTTGTTATTTCCATAGGCGGGGTCCTGCAGAACCACATCAATGTATAAATGGATGCAGAAAAATACCTGACAGTGCATAGTTTCAAAACAAAACTCCCTCTCCACTCCCAGTTACTGACCGGATGCTTCTTGGATTTCTCATAAGGAGCAGCAGTATGAATACTTTCTGGCTCCTTCCTAACATGTTGAGCTGTCATACACGCACTCACTTAGAATTTATTTTGCACAACTCAAGTTGAAAAATCAGATCAGAAAAACAGCTCAGCCCCGCTATGGGACTGGAAATGAAGGGGCCTCCATAACCTCCTGGCCCTTTCACTTCACCCATGCCAAATATGGCTTCTTCAAGCCAGAATCCAGGCCCCATAAACAAAACTAGAATTCTGGCCTCTTGCCAATTCCCTCAGGCAAAGCACAGCCAGAGAAGGGGCAGCAAGAACTGCCTTTGATCTCCCTTGCTGACACCCTCCACCTTCCCACCCTCTTCCAGTGTTGCTATCATTCCTATTGGCAAGAGCTTCCAGAGCAACCAGGCAAGGGACCTTAGGGCCTTGGGAATTCAGGGGGTTGGGGATGGGGGATGTCAAGAAGATGCCTCCTTTTGGGATAAATGCACTTGGGCCTCTGAAAAGCAGGAGGCCCCTGGTCCCTGAGAGGATGTTAAAACTTAAATACTAAGAATAAATAAATAGCTCCCAAATGACACGAGTCAAGGAATGAAGGCTCCTGTCTAATCGAGTTAGGAGAACTCTTCCTCCCAGGGAAGGATCCAGAAATCTCCAGCATGCAGGCCTGGGGACTGGGCTGTGAATATCGACACTGGGTGGGGTGCCGTGGGGTTAGGTATAGCTGCTGAGGGCAGGACAGAGGCGAGGAGGCTGGCCCCCAGGAGGAGCAGGCTGAGCCTCTCCCGCACCTGCTCAAGGGGGAGAACCCTTGGCAGCCTCCAGGACCCAAAGGTATTTGGCAAAAAAGGTGGGAAGCAGGAAGAGCCAGGCTTGTAAAAAGCTCTCTCCGGCCTAGCCCTGCAGCTTCCAGCCTCTGTACAGCTCCCTTCCCGGCAGCAGGATGAGTGCTTTGACAAGAACGTTAGCCCCTTCCCCAACGCTGAGAAAACTTTCTAGCCCCAGCAGCGCCGCCGGCAAGCAGCAAAGGGAGAGTACCTGTTGCGGCCTCCCTCCCAGGGAGGAGGTGGCCACTCAGGACACTGTCACAGGTGCAGCTCAGGCAGGCCTGGACACTGCAGGGACAGCACAGGTGTCAGGCTCCGCCCCTTTTCGGAGAAGCCAGCATACTCCCTCCAAGAGTCCCTTTTTCTGGGGCTTGGGGCAGGGCCGGTGCAACCTTCAAGGTCCTCTGGGGAGGAGGAATACTGCTGCAATGGGGGTGAGCTTGTGCTTGGCTGGCCACGGTGGCTTCCTGGAGGCAGAGGGGAGGGGGGAGGCAAAGAGGAGGGAAGAGACAGCAGCAGAGATCGGAGTGTGAGAGGCGGCGGAGCCCCTCCCAAGAGGACCGGGACTCTCCTGGTCCAAGAAAGCACGGTCCAAGAAAGCACGAAGACAACTTCCGACAGACCAAATGCAAAGAGAACTGGATCCTGCAGCCCTTAACGCTGCTCCCGGGGCCTTCATAAATAAAAGAGCCGTTTATTTCATTGTCTCATTTGTTTCACAGGGAAAAGTCCCTGCAATCCTCTCCTCACTCCCTCTTGAGGTGCCAGGGTGTCTGCGGGCACTGGTGTTGGTGCGGGAAGGGCCGGGCTCAGGAGCTCAGCCCTTGTCGCCCGCGCCAGCGCCGCTCTCCTCCTGCAGGGCCTGCTGGTGGGCCGCGGCAGCGGCAGCCTCCTTCTCCTTCAGCCTCAGCGCCGCAGCCTTCTTCTCCTGCTCCGCGTGGCTCTTCATGTGCGCACTGCGGCTCTTCACCTTGTAAAACACCCTGCGGACAGGCGGGGATTGCTCAGGACCGGCCTGGCCCATCCCGGGCCCCCCAGGGCGGGTGCTCGAGCAGCCCCAGCCTTCACCTCCATCCCCACGCGGCGCAGCTCGGGCTGGTCCCCCTCTGGTCATTTTCTGAAAGCTGCCCCATGATGTCACAGCCCTAGAAACCCGCTCAGCCAATCAGAAGAAGAGGCGAGTGCCGCCAGCACTTCTTCCCCCTCCCCCGGCCCTGCCTTGCTGCGCACCAGCCCGCGGTGTCCCAGCGGGGACAGGGCTGGCCACCTTACCTGCCACATTTTTTACAGGGGAAAGTGTTCTCCTGATTCTGGGTCTTAATGAATGTCTCTGGTTTTTTCTTCTTCTCTGAAAAGGACAGTGCCCTTCGTGACTTCCCTGTCCCTTCCCTTGGCTTCTCCGAGGCCTGGCCACCGGCAGACCCAGGGGCGTTGGACTCGTGGCTCCGGAGGATGAGGATGTCATTGGCCTGGAGAGAATCAAACAAGGATTGCTGAGTGACCTGGGCGAGCACGGATCTGTAATTCTAGAATCGCAGGGAACTGAGGGCCTGAAAGGTCATATATACTCCTGCCAGTCACCTAGCATGCACTTGGGTCCTTCCAGGGATGGGATGCCCACTGCCTCCTCCGAAGCCCTCTGCGTCCTTGGTCAGCTCTACCGTTTACAAAGTTGCTGCTAGGGTAATTCTGAGGTGCAGCCCCAGCTGCAAGAGGCCTCCATGAGCCTGACAGGGGATCTTGGTGTCTGGGTTAATGAAGCACCTGCTGATATTTTCTGTCATTTAGTCCACTCATGCCCTGTTCTATAAACGAGATTCAGTCCCCTGTGATGTGCCAGGTGCTGGGGACAAAGAGGTTGACACAGGCATCCCTGCCCTCAGCTGAGGGTCTGGTGGAAGGGACAGATGTACAGGTAGGTAGCTCAGGACACGGCAGTTCAGGGACACCAAACAGGGCAAGAGCAGGGATGAGAGTGCAGAGCAGAGGGAGGAGAGGGGGACTCAGCTGGGGAAGCCCCAGGTGGCCATCAGAAGTGGCACCCTCATGGGAAAGTGTCCACAAAAGTCAGCAGAACTCTGTAGGCGTGCAGGTGGTCAAGGCTCAGAAGTAGACACACAGCCGTGTGTTCACCGTTTATGGGAGTTCTGTAAGCATGAGTGTACTACACACATTTTTTAAAAAGACTCAGAAAGCAGCAACTCCCCCAATAAATCCCCTACCCTCCCTCCCCCTTCCTGGGAGAACTCTCCCTGGCAAGGAGGAGCTATGGGCCAGTAGTCTTGCTTCTTGGCCTGTGATATGGTGGACAGAGCACTGCACTAGGGTCCAAGGACCTGCGGCAAGTCACTCAGCATCTCTCAACTGCTTTCCCCCGCTGCAGAGTGGAGGTTAACTCTGCAGTTTGAGGAATTAATGAGACAACGGAAATGAAAGCACTTGGCAGAGATCATGCCTGAGGGCCTATTATTGTCATCCCTATGGTCTCAGCTCAGTTTCATTCTTGTCAGGGACTCCAGCTCTCTAAGGGGAGCCCTGTCCAAGATACAACCCACCAAGGCTTCCTCAGTGTCCCACATGCCTACTGGGTTTTCACAAAATGGGTTTTCACAAAACCTTTTTCCCTCGGAATCTCAGATACAGAAGCAGTAGAGTATAAAAATTAATTGCAGACTCTGGAGTCAGGCTGCCTACTAGCTGTGTTATCTTGGGCCTCAATTTCCCCGTCTGTAAAATGGGAATAACAGTAGTACCTACCCATATAGGGTTGTAAGGATTAAATGAGTTAACAGCACAAAGTACTTCATACCCCTTCTGCTCTACAGACCTGTAGAATCAGGGTCCTGCTCTACCCTCCCTCTCACACCCCCAGACCCAGCTCCACCCTGCTTGCCTTGGGCTCAGCCCATGGCATTCACACTCACCGACTCATTGGCCTGTAGTGTCTGCGTGGCTTTGACTGCCGCTGCCCGCCTGCTGCGCTCTCGCCCCTCTTCCTGCTCCTCCTTCTCCTGGATCTCTGGCACCTCCTCCTCCCCTTCCTTCCTTGGCTCCTTCACCTCCCTTTTGGGTTCCAGCCTCTCCTCACTTGGGGACTCTCTTCTGGGAAGAGGCACCCTTGGGAACTTTTGGGAAGTCTATGGGGAACAAGAACAAGGGCAGTGAACCTAGAGCTCCATCTTGCTGCTGCAGCGCAGATTCTGACCCAGCGGGGGGTTCACCAGCCCCTGCTAGTCCTGCTTGACTGGCTGGCTCAGCACATTCTTCTGTACCAGGACTCTGGACTCTGTTCTCATGGCATAGTAGGATGAGAGAGTCTCAAGCCCTGGGAGCACTTGAGAAAGGGCGAGGGGCATGGAGGGTGCATACCAGTCGCTCCCCACTGCCTGCCACCCGTCCTCCTAGGCAGATGACCAGGAGACATCTTCCGTAATGGTCTAGTGAGTCAGGCAGGAGCCTTGAGTTCCAATTCCAACTATCTCTGTAACACTTCCTGTAGCTCTACTACCTTCATACCTGCAAAATGGGCACCAAACCACTCCCTGTCTTACAGTAGCATGTCACCAAGCATGGACCTGCAATCCCAAAATGATGCTGGGTATCGGATATATGGACACAGAATTCAGTAACATTCTCTTTCAATCCTGAGTATGCCAAGGACACAGTCTCTGGTTAGTGCTGATGTGTCTTTTACACATCTCTAGACTTGATAATTTCTTTAACAAAGTGAGGTCAGGGCTCAGTCTCAGCCTTGGCGGGTAACGCAGCATCTAGCTCAAATTTAATAACACTGGTTTTTATATATATTAACTTTTACCAGTACCTTCTATTTTTAGCAAACAATTCTGGTTTTCTATTTATGATTATGATATATAGCTTCTATTTTGAGTAAAAAATGAGTTGATTTAAAGGGAAATATTAAGTAATGGCACAAGTAGTATGTGAATATGACAAAAATTGTAATGGCGACACATAGTAGGATGCAGATATAGCAGAAATCAAAAAGAGGATACAAGAATGACTGAGGTTTGAGAAACAGTGTTAGAGGTCTGCTATGTGGAGACAGGAAGTTGATGCTAGTGTGAATCCTGTGGGGAAAATTACCCTGTGTATCAACACAATGTATCATTACTCTGATACCAGCAGTATAGAGAGGGGAACACAGCAGTCTGGGGCTCCTTGGGGCTGTCAGGGACATTGTCGTCCTCAGCATGTCCTCTGCAGGGTCCTGGAGAGCTTGGGCCCCGGCTCCCAGCTCAGCCCTGGCCCCAGACCCAGCCCAGGCACTATGCAGCCAAGGCTGGAAAAGGAGTTACCTTAATATCCACTTCAACCTCTTCCTGCGCCGACTTCTCATCGCTCGTATCCACATCCCCAAAGGTTAGAGTCCCGTTGCGGCCGATTTTCACCTGCTTCTTGTAGGTGTAGTAGAACTCCACGCACTGGGCCACGGTCTTGGTCTGGATCTGGTTTGAAGTCAAAACTAAGGTCAGAAACCCCTGGTTTGGCTCATCTGCCTGGGGAGAATCCAGACTTTCTTGTCCCTGCATCTTTCGCTTAACCTCAAGCCAAATGAAACCCAGCCAACCCAGGAAATGCAAGCATTTTTCCAATGCCTGCTATGCAACAAACCACTGATCAATTAATCAATGCTTCAGCACTATTTAAAATAAGTAAATAAATAAAACAAGCTATAAAGGACAACACTGGACCCACCTGGGAGACGGCAATATGGATTGCATATCAGAGGGCATCACTGCACTTTTTTTGTTTTTGTTTTTGAGACAGAATCTCACTCTGTCACTCAGGCTGGAGTGCAGTGACGAGATCTCAGCTCACTGCAACCTCCACCTCCCAGGTTCAAATGATTCTCATGCCTCAGCTTCCTGAGTAGCTGGGATTATAGGTATGTGCCATCACAACTGGCTAGTTTTTTTGTTTTTTGTTTTTTAGTAGACACGGGGTTTCGCCATGTTGGCCAGCCTGGTCTCAAACTCCTGGTCTCATGATCTGCCTGCCTCTGCCTCCCATAATGCTGGGATTACAGGCATGAGCCGCCTCACGTGGCCTCAATTATTTTATCAGGTTAAATTTCTTGGGTGTGCTAACGGTACTGTGGTTTTGTAGAGTATCTTGGTTTTTAGGAGATACATGCTGAAATCTTTTAGTCACATGACAGGATGACTACAACTTACTTTCAATGAGCTGACTCAGAGAACAAAAGTGCTGTCTATGTGTGTGCCTATGTTTAGATATAGAGAACAAGAAAGCAAATGTAGCAAATGCTAACGATTGCTAAATCTAAGTGAGGGGTAGATGGGTGTTCATTTCTACTGTTCTTTCCATTTTCCTCTAAGTTTGAAATTTTTCAAACTGAAAAGTTCAGGGAAAAGGTCTGGGCACCATCTACATTCAAAGCAAGCCCTGACCTGGCCACACAGACGCCTTTCATTAATCCAGGCAAACAATTTCATTTCTCTCCAGGGAGCAGTGTCTGACAAGTGAGCATACAGAAATGTCACAGTGTCCCTGCCTGTCAGGGGAGGAATTCGAGGGAAACTCACAAGAAAGCCCTGGAAAACCTGAGGAGGAAGCGAAAGGCCGAAGTCTTACTCCTGACTCTGCCACCACATGAGTACTTGAGCTTAGGCAAGCCACTCACTTTGCTAATTTCAGTTTTTTCACGTGTAAATAGCAAATGGAGTGAGTAAGACTAGATGATCTCCAGGGGCCACTCAAGCTCTGAAATTCTAGCTGTTCCATTGCATAAATCTATTTGGCCACTGGGTTTAGTTTTTGGGCTACTTTCCCACATGCAGAGGCTGTTTTCCCTGTCACCACCCCAGAAGCTCCCACATTGCTCAGCCACCGCTGGGCTGGGACTTCCTGTCCAGAGAGGCCAGAGGTCAGTGCAGGCCCTTTGTGTTTCATCTCACAGGAATGGCCAAGTCACACGTATTAATTAGACTGTTTACAAATTTACTGTCAATTCTCTCTGACCCTTTGTTTGACTAAAGGTCTGCTCTTTTCATTAGGCATGTTAGGGGCCTCAGTGAAGTTCACGGGCATGTCCTTAGGCATGTACTTCCCATCAGTATTGCCCAATCAGGGAATAGAGTATTACCAAAACAGAGCAAAGGACTTCTCACAACAGGGCCCTCATAGGCAATTTAATCAGCAGCACTTTTGTCCAGTCCCCAGGGCTGTTCCCAACACAATCTACAATCCCAGGAGGAAAAGGCATGCTCTTAGAAGCTCTTTTCCCAGGTATGGTGGCTCACGCCTGTAATCCCAGCACTTTGGGAGGCTGAGGCAGGTGAATCACCTGAGGTCAGGAGTTCAAGACCAGCCTGGCCAACATGATGAAACCCTGCCTCTACTAAAAATACAAAAATTAGCTGGGCGTGGTGACAAGCGCCTGTAATCCCAGCTACTCAGGAGGCTAAGGCAGGAGAATTGCTTGAACCCAGGAGGCGAAGGTTGCAGTGAGCTGTCACATCAATGCACTCCAGCTTGGGTGACAGAGCGAGACTCCATCTAAAAAAAAAAAAGAAAAGCTCTTTTCCCTTGGTGGTCCATACAACTCCCTCCCTACAGCCCAGATTTTGTGATACAGGGCTGGAAAGATGCAATTGCTTGGATTAGCAAAGCATCTGCTCTTCCAGAAGAATATGGAGAGAGGACAAAATAAATCTAGGGAAGGTGGCTTGAACAGCTGAGTTACTGGAAGGCAACTCTGCGTCAAAGGAAGCAGGTAAAGGTCTCCCAGATCAGCTACGCAGGTAACTTGCTGGCTCTCAGTTCCCCTCACCCCAGGGTGCCCTCCCCTCCCACCTTCCCCTGGGGAATGGTTCACCTCTACTTGCCATGCTTCTCCCCGTCTTCCTCCTGCTTATTTTAAGTCTGATGCCCTTAAGCCTCTTTCTGGATTGAGACCCCAGAGCCTGAAGTGGGGAAAGGGTGCTTAGAAGCAATAGGGAAAAGAGGCCTAATCTTTCTCTTTCTTGTATTGTCTAGAAAATTCTCTCTGAGGCTATGCAATAGCATTGACCTGACTGCTTTTTTCTTTTTTTTTCCCCTTCTGGTTCATGTTCTCTGATGAAGTTGCAGACCTGACTGCTTTTTAAGAGGGCTTGGCACAGGCAGAGAGCGCCCCGAAGTCACACAGGCAGCTCCGGGCCCTCATTTGCCCCTGAAACAGAGCCCAGCTCACCAGCTTCTGCACCAGGAAGAAATCCTTCTTGTAGATGGCAATGCCTTTGTTGAACAGCTTCCTCTCGGCCATCTTCCACTGGTCGGAGCCTGTGGGGCAAAGAGGCAGCCAGGGAGTGAGCTGGGAAGAGACTTGGTCACTGCAGGACATTTCTGACCAGCAGATAAGCATGAGACCATTTGCCCATGGTCTCTGCAGGCATCAGAGCTGGCTCCTCATCCCACTTCCACCACACACTAGCCATGTCACTCAGAGCCTCGCTCCCTTGCTTGTGAAATGGAAACTAATACTGCCTGGTTCACCAGCTGTGGTGAGGACTAAATGAGATAATGCATGTGAAACCCTTGGTGCTCTGCCTGGTGCAGATGAAATGTAGCACTAACATGGATAGAGAACAACGGCTGCAAGGATTATGTGACTCAGTCCATGTCCTTCTTAAAGTACATTGCCCAGAACAGAACATGCACTCCCGGGGCTAAGTTCCAGGTACCTGATGCCAATTTGGATGGCTCTCCCTGGGTTCCTGTCCCTGTGACCTGGGCCTTTTTGCCCGGATGGGCTCCCACCTGCCCACTCCCTTCTCCCTTCCCCCCAGGGTACAGGAAGCCCCTGGAGAGCTACCCCAGCTTTGGTGGCTGTTCTCTCATTCTGACTCTTGGCTTATCTACCCTCTTCCTCCCTGCCCCCACCCAGGGCTGTGACTCAGCACTGAGCAGGGCCCCAATGATGCTGGAGATCTCGAGGCTCTGGACACCATGCCCACCGCTGCCAGGCCCACCTGTGTAGTGATAAGTTGCCAGTGGATGGTTGTGGGGCCGCAGGGGCTTCTTGAGTAGCAGCTTATTCAGCGTTTCCTGGAGGGAAAGAGAGGGAAGGGTCAGGGCCCTGGCAGGGGTATCAGTGGTGGATACATCCTAGGCTCTGTTAAATTCCTGAGTAGAGTGGGCACTTACTCTTGCCCCACCTTAACTACTGAGAGATAAGGGGTTGGGTCTGGTGGGGTGGTGAGGTCATAGGGGTGGGGCTGCCCAGAAACCAGGCCTCAGGGCCTCTTAAGAGAGCCATGGCCCCAAGGGAAGCAGCACTGCTAGGGAAGACCCTCAGCAACCGTCCAGTCTGAGTCCAGTGACCCAGAATCAGGGATGGGCATGGACAGGGGGATACTGCAAAGCAAAACCTGGGGTCTGAAACTAGGGCTCCCTTGGGCCAAGCCCCTACAGCCCATTCCTTGGTCAGACCCTCTACTGGCCTCAAATGTACACGCCAGCAGGCCTAGCTCCTAAGCGGCAGACATGGATCCAAGCCAACCCCTCGAGGGGCCCTCCCTCTGCTGAGGGTGCCTTCTCACCAAGATGTCTCCCCTGGACTCGTGCAGACAGTGCAGGGCCAGCTCCTGGTTGGTGCCAGCACCAGGGAAAATGCTGGAGCAGGCAGCTGTCAGCAGGTCTTCAACTGGATCCGTAGGAGCGTGAGGAAGGGAGGAAACCACTTTCAGTGCGGGGCGGGGCAGGGCGGGGCCTGGCCCACTCAAGTGTGGACCAGCCTGCCCTCACTTGTTGCCTCCAGGCCCCTCCTCACCTTGTCTCTGCTTCTCCCGGCTGCTCTCTAGGTCCTCCCATGGCTGCCACACCAAGTCGGCCTTGTGGGGGTCTGCAGCTGCCAGGGCACGGTCCCTCATCAAGGGGATTTCCGCCTGGAACCGGGAGCCCACATTGATCCGTCTAGAGGAGTAAAAAGGGCAGGAGGAGGTGAGGCCTCACTTTGCGGGGACAATAGACTTGATTATCCCTCAGGGTGGGAAGAAGGTGAGGGGGAGCCGGCAGAGCAAGGCCTCAGCTAGGTGCAGTGGGTATGGCTTCTAGGGGATTGGGAGGGCAGCCACTGCCAGAAAGGCAAAATCCAGAGATTGGAGAGGGAAGAAGCAGCTCCAGGTTTATAGATGGGAAAGAGCCTCTGGACCCCCCTTCCAACTCTCCTAGAGACAAGTTCAAGCTGAGCCGGTCCTTGTACTTCCCTGTAACTTCCCCACAGAGGCAGGGCAGGGAAGGCAAATCCCAGGGCCAAATACAAAAGCCCATGGAGGCCCTCCCAACCCTCTGCAGGCCCAACAGAGCCCTCCTGTCACTCCCAGGGCCCACCTGCACACACTGCATCAGTGTGGCCACCTGCACACCCTGGGCCAGGGGCAGGGCTGCACTTACGGCTCGATGCTCACTGGGGTGGCCTCCCCCATCACAGAGAGGACAGGCGGGGTGACTTCAGCACTGTCTATGGGACAGAGAGAAAGTTGATAAATAGTACCGTCCTTTCAGCAAAGCATCCCCAACCCTAGTGGCTGCCCTATATGTGCAAGAGTTACAGTGGTGATACACAGAGCTCAGGCAGGGAACACAAGCACCTGAGTCCTGGCTCTGCAGCCTGCCACCTACAAAACTCAGGCCCTTCCCTAAATATTTGAGTGTCTCAGTTTTCACACTCACCAAAAGGGGCTATAACTATCTGTTTTCTAGGGTTGAGAATGGATGAAATAATGCACAGAGCCTGGCACTCAATAAATATTAGCTATTATTACTGCTTCTACTACTAAAGTCATATCCCTGCCCCCAGAAGCCCCAACACTAGAGAATCAACTCCAACATAAAACTGGCTTTTGGCCAGGCACAGTGGCTCACGCCTATAATCCCAGCCCTCTGGGAGGCTGAGGTGGGCGGATCACGAGGTAAGGAGATCAAGACCATCCTGGCCAACATGGTGAAACCCCATCTCTACTAAAATATTAAAAAATTTTGGAATGTAGGAAAAAGTAAGACAAAAAAATCAGCCAGGCATGGTGATTCACACTTGTAGTCCCAGCTACTCGGGAGGCTGAGGCAGGGGAATCGCTTGAACCCAGGCAGCAGAGGTTGCAGTGAGCCGAGGTCACACCACTGCACTCCAGCTTGGCAACAGAGCAAGACTCCGTCTCAAAAAAACAAAAAAACAAACAAACAAACAAAACTGTGGTTTTCTAGTAAAGAGACTGAAACTAGGGAGGTGATAAAGGAGATCACTGTTTTATAATTATCTTCTCACTTCTTTTTTGGATTTTGTGCCTCAGTTTCTCCCAAGCTAGTCTTTTTTTTTTTTTTTTTTTTGAGACAAAGTCTCACTCTGTCTCTGTTTCCACTCAGGCTGGAGTGCAGTGGAACAATCTCAGTTTAATGAGTTCAAGAGATCTCCGATCTCTTGAAGATCCAGATTCAAGTGATTCTCCTGCCTCAGCCTCCCAAGTAGTGGCATTACAGGTGCGCACCACCACGCCCAGCTAACTTTTGTATTTTCAGTAAAAACTGCATTTCACCATGTTGGCCAGGCTGGTGTTGAACTCCTAACCTCAAATGATCCACCTGCCTTGGCCTCCCAAAGGGCTAGGATTACAGGCATGAGTCACCATGCCTGGCCCCAAGCTAGTTTTCATAAGGCACCACATGACCAAAACACTCCTTTGCTTAAAAAAAAAAAAAAAAAAATCTTTGCTCTTTACTGACTCTCTCCTGCAATATGAGATAAAAACCTGCAACCCTCCCCTCAGGATTCAAGACAGTTCCACTTCCATCGGTACCTCCCAACATCCGCATGCCTGAACCTGGATCCTATCTGCTTACCTCTTGGCCCCTCACTCTCCCTGTATGGTCCTACCTAAAGGCCTTTGCACCAGTCATTTCCTCTGCCTGGTGTGTCCTCCCTGCCCCAGCCCTCCTCCAAGCTCGGGCTCAGCTCGGGCCCCACCCGTCTAGAATGCTGTCCTCACCATCCCAGGCTAGCAGCCTCCGCAGGCCTTGGGGCTTCACTCACTGGCTGCAGATCCCACACTGCCGGGAAGCTCTGTTTTTCCAACTTCCAGGCTTTCATGTCAACTCTCTAATGACCCTGCATTCTCTATAGAACAGACCATGGCGTCCTGTACATTCTTGCAGCCCTCACAGGACCCAGTTCAAGGTTTTACACCCAAGTGTTCAGTAATACTCGTGGACAGACTGACCTCTTGCTGGCTGCCAGTCTAGTCTCCACAATGATTTCTTCTTCCTACAGCCTAGCCAGGGAGAAGCCTCCCCAGGAAGCAGGGTAGAAGGCTGGCCAGTCTAGGGCAAACGCTTTGCACTCACAGACACCAGGGGGCACCAGAGAGCCACACCATGGGTGAGGTCAGGGGTTAACGGGCCAAAGGCATTCATGAGCAACTTCCACTTAATCCTCTCTATCACCCTAAGGGATTGGATTATCCCATTTTGCAGAGGAAATTGATCTCTCTGTGGAGTGGGCAACATTTTTCAGCAGTACACCACCCAAGCCAGCCCAATATTTCCAAAATGTCTACTTTTGGCCAAAAAGACTGAGAGCCCCAGAGACCAGATCTACCGCAAAGAACTATGAGCCAACAGATGAGAAAGAGCCTCTGGACACCCCCTTCCAACTCTCCTAGAGATAAGTTCAAGCTGAGCCAGGGGCAGCTCAAAGCTCAAAGGTGGATGGCCAGGCATGATGCTACAGCTTTATGTGTGCTAATGCACCTGAGACCAGGAAGTGGCTATTAGGTTGAACCAAAGGAAAATTCTGCTATTTGTGAATCCAAAAATAGCTGAATATTGGAAATTTCATCATCAACCAAGTACTACTAAAATCCCCATCTTAATACTGAAGAAACTGAGACCTAGGGAGTTGAAGTGACTTGCAAAAGCGGATGTAATGGTAAACAGAATTGAGATTTGAATTCAAGCAGCTAGGTGGACCTGCCCTCTCTTGTTGAACCAGGACAACCTCCTTCTCAATCTCAAGAGAAGACAGGGCAGAGCTCCTTCTCCTAGAGTGTTCCAGCCCAATCCCCAGCAGCCCCATAGGCTGCGATGCCTCCCTGCTCAGTGTTCCAGCCCCGCTCCTGCCATGGCTGAGGAGGGAGGTCACTCACTAGTCCGGAGCAGTGTGCGATGGGCACTCTTGGGCGTGATGGGAGGAGGGGCTGGGATGCTGCTGGTTGATATGATGGCATTGAAGTAGAGGCCAGAGCCTTCCCGCACAGGGCTGAGGATGGGGGGTGGTGTGTAGGGGGGCAGCTCAAAGCTCCGCTCAGAGGGGTGGTCAGCTAGACGCACAGGAGAGCGCAGGTGGCTCTGGTATGGGGTGATGTTGGAGTAGACGGGAGGGGCGATGAAAGTGCCCGCCTTGGTGGGGATGATGAGGGGCTCCGGCCTGGGCCGCTGCTTTGGTTTCCGCACAGAAGGCTCCCCCTCCAGCTTGACATTCATGTCCTCTGCCTGGAGAAGTAAAGAAAACAAAGACGGCTCAGTCCCCCATGTCCCAGGAAAAGTGAAGTCTTGACCAATGCTTGCCAGTCTCACCTTTGGAACTTAAGTCTCCCCACCACACCCACCAAGGCAAGCCTGAAAAAGGGAGTAGGTCCAAAAGCCCTTCTTATTGTCCTCTCTAGGGCAGAGGTCAGCAAACTTTTTCTGTAAAAGGCCAGAGAGTAAATATTTTAGGCTTTGTGGGCCGCATGTGTTCTCTGCTACATATTCCTTTTCTTTCCCTTTTTCTTTTTAAAACTAATCGTATAAAATTGTAATGCTATTTATTCTTAGCTCTGCTGTAGAGTGTGACAGGGCAGAAGAGCACAGTAGTTCAGGGCCCAGGCTCTGGAACTGGACTGCTTGGACTGGTACCTACCACCTTTACTGCCACTTAAAATTACTCAATCCAGGGCTGGGCGTGTTGGCTCACACCTGTAATCCAAGCACTTTGGAGGCCAAGGCCGGCGGATCACCTGAGGTCGGGAGTTCAAGACCAGCCTGACCAACATGGTGAAACCCCATCTTAAAAAAAAAAAACAAAAAACTCAATCTCTTTGAGCATCTTCATTTTTAACATGGTGCATTCTTAATAAGTGCCTACTTAATGGGGTATCTATGAGGACTACATGAATTAATACATGGAAATTATTGACAATATCATCTGGTACCTCAGTAAACACTGGCTGTTATCACTACTTACACTCCAGGCTCTGCGTTAGATGAAAGCTCCTACTGTGTGCTAAGAGTGAGTTGGGCATGGGACTACAAAATGGAATGGACGAGGCCAGGTGTAGTGGCTGACACCTGTAATCACAGCACTTTGTGAGGCTGAGGTGGGGGAATCACTTGAGGCCAGAGTTCCAGACCAGCCTGACCAACATGGCAAAATCCTGTCTCTACTAAAACACAAAAATTAGCCAGGTGTGGTGGTGGGCGCCTATAATTTCAGCTACTCAGGAGGCTGAAGCACAAGAATCACTTGGATCCGGGAGGTGGAGGTTGCAGTGAGCTGAGATTGTGCCACTGCACTCCAGCCTAGGCGACAGAACTGGACTCTAACTCAAAAAACAAAAAGGAGAAAGAAAAAAAGATGGAATGGACTGTTCCTTGCAGAACTTTTGTTCTCACAGTATTAATCAGACTACGCAAAAGGCTAGCCCATGCATACTGTCAAAGGTTAGCCCTCCTACTTCTCCCTGCTAGGCATGCCTCACAGGTCTCTATCTAGAATAGAAAGGACTATAAGAGAACAGAGGCTTTCCCTTGCTCCATCCCTATAATCTCAAAGGCAGAGAACGGAGTCCTACAGGGTAAGTAACCCCAGGTTATCCCTATGCGTACTCAGTATAACAGGTAAGGTTGGCCATGTTGACTGAGTGGGCCTTAGAATAATGAGCTATTTCCCTGCCATGGCTCTCGCTCCCATAAACACCTTCCAGCAGAGGGCCCTGACTCCTGAGGCTCTGGACATGTCCTTCACCCATTTGTGTCTTTTCCCTTCTACAAATTAGAATGAAATGAAACTGTTCATTCTTCTGCCCTTAGGGAAACAATGATTGCACAGTAAAAAAAAAAATGCAGGAGCCAAAGGCCCCCCAAACTTTCTTGACAGAAATCCAACGAAAGGCTAAGCGCGGTGGCTCATGCCATCCCAGCACTTTGGGAGGCTGAGGCGGGCAGATCACGAAGTCAGGAGTTCAAGACCAGCCTGGCCAACATGGTGAAACCGCGTCTCTACTAAAGATACAAAAAATTAGCCGGGCATAGTGGTGGGCACATGTAATCCCAGCTACTCAGGAGGCTGAGGCAGGGGAATCGCTTGAACTTGGGAGGTGGAGGTTGTAGCAGTGAGCCGAAATTGCACCAGTGTACTCCAGTCTGGGCAACAGGGGGAGACTCCATCTCAAAAAAGAAAAAGTAAAGAAAGAAATACAACAACAACAAAATCAGCTAGGTCTAATGATCTGTAATTTTATAATAAGGGATTTAAACTATTCTGAATATTTGACAATAATAGTCATTTTTTTAGATATGGCAATACTGTTGAGATTACGTTGAAGAAGAAAGAGTCCTTATGTATTTCAGATACAAACTGAAAGGTATATATGAATGGAATGCTATAATGTTCGGGATGTGCTTCAAAATAACCTGGTGGCATGGAGAAGTAGAGGTACAGGTGAAACAAGACTGGCTATAATTCGATAACTGTGAGATCTGGGTGATGGCTAAACATTGGCATTCATTATACCCATCTCTCCACTTTTATGCATGAAAGAAAGTGTCTATAGTACAAAGAATAATAAATAATGAATGAAATAAATAACAAACACAAACTTCCCCCCATAGCCTGGTGTAGGGATTTAGGAGATCCAAATTCTAGGGCTAGCTCTGCCATTACTTGGCTGCATGACCAGAGGTACAGCCTCTTGTCTTCTCTGGACCTAGTTCCTCATCTATAAAACAGGGGCACTGAGCTGTGTAGCTACTCAGGCTCCTTCCTGCTTACTCTCTGCCCAGGCCTCCAGCCTCTACCAGAAAGTTGTCCTCAACTAGAGAACAGAAACCCAGAGAGCAGAGACTGTGGTGCTCACAATCATCTTGGCGCTTCCCTGTGTATTACAGAGGCATGTAGGCCAATTCTCCAGCCGAGAATAACCAGAAAATCTGGACTCAACGTGCAAAACACATTTCTGAAGATATCAGAGGGCAAATAGGTTGGCAAAGAATTAAAATGCCAAGATCCAAGGGAAAAGAAAAGAAAGCTAAAGAGGTCAGCCCAGTATTCGAAGCTCCACTTTCCCTAGAGGTAAATGCTATTACTGGAAGAGGCAACTGAGAGGCTGAGAAACTGAGTAGACCTTTTAAGAAATTTAAGGAACTGACACAATAAAAAATAAAGTTTGGCTGGGTGTGTTTGGCTGGGCACGGTGGCCTGTATTTCCAGCACTTTGGGAGACCGAGGTGGGCGAATTACCTGAGATCTGGAGTTCAAGACCAGCCTGGCCAACATGGCAAAACCCCATCTCTACTAAAGATACAAAAATTAGCTGAGTGTGGTGATGGGTATCTGTAATCCCAGCTGCTTGGGAGGCTGAGGCAGAAGAATCGCTTGAACCCAGGAGATGGAGGTTGCAGTGAGTCGAGATCACTCCACTGTACTCTAGCCAGGGTGACAGAGAGAGACTCCCTCTCAAAAAAATCAAAAAACAAACAAACAAAATCCTGAAGTTTAGGGCTTGCCAAGGAAGGAGAGCTTGGTAAACCCCAGGCTTTGGATTGGGCCTCCAAAAAGGGCTGGTACTCACTTTTCATCCAGAATAAAGGTGAATCAGAAATAGACTAGTCCCTACATGGAATAAAGCCTAGCTTCAAATCATCTCATTTCAACCTCTGATTAAAGTAATTCAGGGCCAGGTGTGGTGGCTCACACCTGTAATCTCAGCACTTTGGGAGGCCAAGGCAGGTGGATCACTTGAGGCCAGAAGTTGGAGACCAGTCTGGCCGACATGGCAAAACCCTATGTCTACTAAAAACACAAAAATCCGCCAGGCATGGTGGCAGGTGCCTGTCATCCCAGCTACTCAGGAGGCTGAGGCACAAGACTTGCTTGAACCTGGGAGACATAGGTTGCACTGAGCCAAGATTGTGCCACTGCACTGCAGCCTGAACTTCGGAATGAGATCCTATCTCTAAATAAATAAATAACGTAATTCAGGCCAGGTGCAATGGCTCATGCCTGTAATCTCAGCATTTTGGAAGGCTGAGACAGGCAGATCACCTCAGGTCAGGAGTTTGAGACCAGCCTGGCCAACATGGTAAAACCCCATCTCTACTAAAAACACAAAAATTAGCAGGGCATGGCGGCACACCCCTGTAGTCCCAGCTACTTGGGAGGCAGACGTGGGAGAATCGCTTGAAAGCAGGAGATTGAGGCTGTCATGAGCCAAAATCGTGCCACTGCACTCCAGCTTGGGCTACAAAGCGAAACTCTGTCTCAAAAGAAAAAAAAAGAAAAAGAAAAAAATATTTTCAGATAATCCAAGACTAATAAAATTCCTCACTGCAGATATACTAAAAGAAATGCTAAGGGATGACAGTTGGAGATATGAGAAGAAATGAAAGCAACAAAAAGGATAAGTATTGGGGTAAATCTAGAATAAATAACAATGTTATAATGTCCTGCTGATGTTAAAATAAAGAGAGAATGAAAATGCATGTCGATAATGCTAAAAGTTAGGTATTGGTGGAAAATGACATTAAAGTGTTGTAAGAACTTTGCGTTGTCCAGGCCAGGTGCAGTGGCTCACACCTGTAATCCCAGCACTTTAGGAAGGTAAGGCAGGTGGATCACCTGAGGTTAGGAGTTCCAGACCAGCCTGGCCAACATGGTGAAACCTATCTTGACTAAAAATACAAAAAAATTAGTAGAGCATGGTGGCCTGCACTTGTAGTCCCAGCTACTCACAAGGCTGAGGTGGAAGAATCACTTGAACCCGGGAGGTGGAGGCTGCAGTGAACTGAAATCACACCACTGTACTCCAGCCTGCGCAACAGAGTGAGACTTCATGTCAAACCACCCCCCACAAAAGCAACAACAAAAAACAAGAACTTTGCGTTGTCTAGGAAGAGCTAAAAGTACTAACAGATTTCAAAAAGCCAAGGATGCATGTTTTAACATCTAGCAGCCCTTCTCAACCAAAGAACTAAGTCCTAATGTCATAAGGTATTCACTATACGTAAGTTAGATTCTCTCCTATGCATTTAACAGGATTTGGGTTTTTTAATTTTTTTTTTTTTTGGCTTTTTGTTTTGTTTTGAAAAAAGGTCTCACGTTGTCACCTAGGCTGAAGTGCAATGGCACAATCATAGCTCCCTATCACCTTGACCTCTTGGGCTCAAGCGATCCTCCCACCTCAGCCTCCTGAGAAGCTGGGACTACAGGTGTATACCACCATACCCAGCTAACTTTTTTTTTTTTTTTGGTAGAGATGAGGTCTCCTTGTGTCGCCCAGGCTGGTCTCAAACTCCTGGGCTCAAGTGATCCTCCTGCGTTGGCCTCCCAAACTGCTGGGATTACAGGCATCAATCAGCCACTGCACCTGGCCTCCTATGCATTTTAAAATGGTACTAACTATGTCCCATCCTTTAGATGATTGTGGCAATAGTTGCTCAAATCCCTTTCTGTAGGGCTTAGTTCTCTTGAAGAAATATGGGTAAGAAGAATGCTGGGGTAATCATTAAAAGAGCAATATGCAAGGATATAACTAATAAATCAACAAAATGGGGAAATGGGATAACAAATCAAATCAATCCAAAGGCAAACACAGGAAAGGCAAGATGAGAAACAGCTACAGCAGGTGGCAACTTTTAACCAAAGTATTTAAGTAGTTCCATTAAATGCAAACTGTATCAGTGGAATATTAAAAAACTGAATTCAAAGAAGCATAAAGTGGAATGGTGGTTACCCGGGGTTAGGGGATGGGCCGAGGGTTGAGGAGATACTGGTCAAAGGATACATAATTTCAGTTAGGAAAAAAGAGTAAGTTCAGGAAATCTATAGTATAACATGATGACTATCATTAGTAACAATGTATTACATACTTCAAAATTGCTAAGAGAGCAGATTTTAAATGTTCTCACCACAAAAAAATAAGTATTTGAGGTAATGCATATGTTAATTTGCTTGATTATATCAGAACATCATGTTGTATGCCATAAACATGTTTTCTGTTATGTTACTTTTATTTTATTTTTGTACAGACAGGGTTTCGCCATGTTGGACAGGCTGGTCTTGAACTCCTGGCCTAAAGTGATCCACCAGTCTTGGATTCCCAAAGTGCTGGGATGACAGGCATGAGCCATCACACCCAGACTTTATATTAATTTTTAAATAAATAAATAGAAAGAATGACATAAACTGTATCACTGCTCTAAAAGATTGGATAATAACAATTCCCAATGTATGCCACTTGAAAATACACTTAAGTAGAAGGATATAGAAAAGATGACAATAGGCCGGGCGCGGTGGCTCACGCCTGTAATCCCAGCACTTTGGGAGGCCGAGGCGGGTGGATCACGAGGTCAAGAGATCAAGACCATCCTGGTCAACATGGCGAAACCCCGTCTCTACTAAAAATACAAAAAATTAGCTGGGCATGGTGGCGCGTGCCTGTAATCCCAGCTACTCAGGAGGCTGAGGCAGGGGAATTGCCTGAACCCAGGAGGCGGAGGTTGCGGTGAGCCGAGATCGTGCCATTGCACTCCAGTCTGGGTAACAGGAGCGAAACTCCGTCTCAAAAAAAATAAAAATAAAAATAAAAATAAAAAATAGAAAAGATGACAATAAATGGATGGGAAAAGATGCACCCTGCAGATTCTAACCAAAAGAAAGCAAGATATCAGACAAAGCTGACTTTAAAAGGCAAAAGGGGTGGATAATGAGAAATTACTTAATGGGTACAATGTGCATTATTTGGGGAACAGATATGGATACCCTGACAGCCCTGACTTCACCACTACACAATCTATGCATGTTACAAAAATCACACTTGTATCCTATAACTTCACTAATGTAAAATAAGAACTGGCCCGGCACGGTGGCCCATGCCTGTAATCCCAACACTTTGGGAGGCCAAGGCGGGCAGATCACTTGAGGTCAAGAGTTAGAGACCAGCCTGGCCAACATGGTGAAACCCTGTCTCTACTAAAAATACAAAAATTAGACGGGCATGGTGGCACACGCCTGTAATCCCAGCCACTCGGGAGGCTGAGGCAGAAGAACTGCTTGAACCCAGAAGGTTGCAGTTAAGCTGAGATCTCACCATTGCACTCCAGCCTGGGGGACAAGAGCAAAACTCCTTTTCAAAAAAAATAAAATAAGAATAAAAGGCAAAAAGACTAAGATAAAAAGAAATTTCATAAAGTATCTAATCCAGTTCTAAATAAGCGTCTAATAACATTGCATCAAAATGTATAAAACAAATGATGACAGAACCTAAAGAAAAAGTAGACAAAGTCTCAATCTTAGAAGGAGATGTCAAGATCACAGTAGTAACAGTACAAGCAAACACCTCTAATTCCCAGCACCCAGCACAGGCCCAATCAAAATTTGCTGACCTGAAAAAAGAAATGTACACATCATAGAATTTCCCAGGCAGTTTCAATTTCAAGTATAAAACTGTCTTATCCCCCATGAGGATGGGGGACATCTCCAAATGTCCCTTCTGGACATTTATCTAGAAATTTGGTTTGGAAAATAAAAATAGTATCTCTACAGGCTCCCTGATACCTTCCTATATTTCCATGTTCTCCTTTCCCCATAGGGTCCTAGGCCCCAGGGGCACTCAGGTGCTGGAGGTGTTTAGAAGGGGTGCCTCTCATACCTGAGCTGCAGCATCTGTCCCAGGAATTCGGGTGGACCGCCTGCGGGTGACGATGACCGATGGCTTGTGCTCAGTGGAGTTCTGGTCAGGACCCTGCCCATCCTCATCAATACTTCCAGCCTGGGCTGCCTCAGTTGGGTCCACAGTCCGCACAGGCACAGACACTGGGATGATGAGGGGTACCATCCCGCTGTCTTCTCGCGCTCGCTTGGTGGCTAAGGCAGGCTCAGAAAACTCCACCTCACACTTGGTAGTTGAGGCCAATACACTTCTCCGCTTCTCTTCAGAGCCACTGACATCCTGGAGAAGACAGGAACAGAAGTGCAGTTTAAAAGATAAAGTCACAGCCAGGCGCAGTGGCTCACGCCTAAAATACCTGCACTTTGGGAGGACAAGGCAAAAGGATCGCTTGAAGCCACAAATTCAAGACCAGCCTAGGCCACACAGTGAGACTCCGTCTCTACAGAAAATAAAGCTAAATTAGCTGAGCGTGGTGGCAAACGCCCCAGCTATTCAGGAGGCTGAGGTAGGAGGATTGCCTGGGTGACAGTGACACCCTGTCTCAATAAATAAATATATAAACAAACAAATAAAAGATAAATTCTGATTTGATCTAGGACCCTCATTCCCACTTAGTCAGTGGCTCCCAATGATCTCACAATTTGGCTTTTCCCTGACCGGCTTTTCTCCAACAAATTTTTTTTTTTTTTTTTTTGCAGACAGGGTCTCACTGTCACCCAGGCTGGAGTGCAGTGGCACGATCTTGGCTCACTGCAACCTCTGCCTCCAGGGTTCAAACAATTCTCCCACCTCAGCTTCCCCAGTAGCTGGGATTACAGGTATGCACCACCACACCTGGCTAATTTTTGTTATTTTTTTGTAGAGATGGGGTTTTGCCGTGTTGGCCAGGCTAGTCTTGAACTCCTGATCTCAAGTGATCCAACCACCTTGGCCTCCCAAAGTGCCAGGATTACAGGTGTGAATCACTGAGCCCAGCTTCCTACCACACTTCTAAATACTCTCCAATCCTTGACGAGACCATAGGTACTCCTAGGCCAAGGAGAAGTCAACAGTCAATACCAAGACCTGGGACCTAGCAGGCTTCCAGGAAGTTTTATGGTGAGAAGCACTTTGATTTATTTGTCTGTTTGTTTGTTTTTTGAGATGAAGTCTCGCTCTGTTGCCCAGGCTGGAGTGCAGTGCCGGGATCTCGGCTCACTGCAACCTCCACCTCTCAAGTTCAAGTGATTCTCGTGACTCAGCCTCCCCAGTAGCTAGAGTTACAGGTGTGCGCCACCATGCCCAGCTAATTTTTATATTTTTAGTAGAGACGGGGTTTCACTGTGTTGGCCAGGCTGATCTTGAACTCCTGTCCTTAGGTCATCTGTCCACCTTGGCCTCCTGAAGTGCTAGGATTACAGGTGTGAGCCACCACACCCAGTCAGAAGCATTTACTATAGAAGAGAACAGTGTGAGGCTGGGTGCGGTGGCTCACACCTATAATCCCAGCACTTTAGGAGGCTGAGGTGGGTGGATTATCTGAGATCAGGAGTTTGAGACCAGCCTGGCCAACATGGCAAAACCCAGTCTCTACTAAAAATACAAAAATATGTCAGGCGTGCTGGCAAGTGCCTGTAATCCCAGCTACTGGGGAGGCTGAGGTGGGAGAATCACTTGAACCTGGGAGGCAGAGGCTGCAGTGAGTTGAGATTGCACCACAGCACTCTAGCCTGAATGACAGAGTGAGACTCCATCTCAATACATACATACATACATACCCTCCACAACCTGCCTTCTTCCAGGCCCTTCCACCCTGGCCCAGAGCAAGGGTCCACAAATGGCCATCTCCTGCCACAGGTGGCTTACAGATGGGTTTTGTTTGGCCTGTGCAGTGGGTGGCACATGAAATAGTATCTAATTATTCAAAAAAAATTCCTGCGAAAGAAAGTAAGCAAGAACCATGCGGCAAGGTGAAGGGTGGTCTTTGTACTATTTCCCCACAGGCAGTTGGCTAGGGCAAAGTCTGCCTGTCCCTAGGCAAAAAGCAAATCCTGCAGCCTCCCACCTATCAGCCTGATGTCCTCTGCCAGGTCTGGCTCCACCCCATGCCACTCTCACCTTTGCATTCTGCAGCGAGGCCAGCTCCACCGCCTTCTGGGCCAGGGTCAGCAAATTGGCCTCCTGGGATGCCCGGCGCCTCCGTCTCGTGCTCTGGATCACGCCGCCCCGTAGCACCTGCCCACAGTCCCCTGTGCTCACTGCCCTCATGCCCTCCTCGATGCCCATGGCAGGAGCCTCTCGCTCCCGGCCATTGGGTGCTAGTCTCTCCCCATCAGGCAATAACTGCGACTCCCTCAGCTCCAGCGGGAATCCCAGTGCTTCAGGATGGGGCTGCCCCAGGGCGCCAGGTGGTGGCTGCTGTAGGGGCCAGTGATGTAGGAACAGGTTGCCAGTGGGCTCCTGCCCAGGTTGGGTGCCAGCCCCATCCAGGGCAGTAGGAGGCAGGATACCCTCCTTAGAGAGGCGGCGGGAGCGGCGAGGGAAAGGGATCTGGACCTGAGGTAGCGCCGGCTGCGGGGCTGACTCCTGCAGGAGGGCCTTGCGCAGTTCTGGGTTCATATCAGGGTTTGGGGGGAAGGGGTAGGGTGCCATGCTGTGGTGAGCCAGGTGGGACTGTCCTAGTGGCCCAGCTGGCTGCAGGCCAAAGTCCTGGGGTTGCTGTGAGGGTGGCTGCTGCATGGGGTAGAAGTTCTCAAAGAGTGGCATCTGGGGTAGGGCCGCCTGCTGCTGCTGCTGTTGCTGCTGCTGATGCTGTTGCTGCTGCTGATGCTGCTGTTGCTGCTTCTGCGGGGGAAAGGCGGCCACTGGGTTTGGGGGCGGTGGGCCCTGCCGGAAGACCTGCCGGTTCACCTGGTGGCCAAATGCCAGCTGGAAGGGTTGCAGGGGCAGCGACTGGTTTGGGGGTTTCTTGGCTGCATGGAAAGAATTCAGGGGTGCCTGGGGCCGCCCTACCTCCAGCTGCACCTTCTGTGGCATCATTGGCCGCACATTTCCATAGCGGTCCAGCTGTGGGCCCCCTGCTTTCTCCCGCTTCAGTGCCTCAGGGTGGTTATAGTAAGTCGGGACTCCCACTCCAGGATGAGGGCTCCCCTTGGGTGCACTGTAGAGGGACAGACTGTGGCAGTTCCATGTTGAATGGGGAGGAGGTTGGCCTGGCTGCTGCTGCCAGCTGCCGTCACTGACACCCCCACCTCCTCCGCGATCTGGGCCCCGCCCTGGAGCCATCACAGAGTTGGGCCACTTTACTGAGGCCACCTGCTGGGACAGCATGGCTGCTGAGGTCCGCTCAGGCCCATACACCACAGAGTTCAGCAGGGCCAGGCTGCTGGGAGGGGCCAGTTCCACAGGCTGAGAGGTGGAGGCTGCCCCTCCTGGGCCCTCATGTCCGACGTACTGCTCCTCCTTCACTCTGATGGACTGCTGGGGGGGCTGCAGGGGAGGGGGCTGCTCCTTGGGAGCTGGTTCCTGGCTGCTGAAGAGGGAACGCTTCCGCTTGTTCTGAGCCTTGGGCTGGGCCTGGAGGTTCATGATGTGGCCAACTGAGCCCTGGCAGTGAGATCCACTTCACCAGTCGCCCATCCCCTGGTGAAATGTCCTGCTGGAAGCTGGGCTCTAGTCCAGGGGCCAGGGAGGGCAGAGCAGGGACAGAGGAAGATGCTGGACAATGTGGTCGGGCACTGGGATAAAGAACTGCTGGCTCTTCCTTCCTCTTCCAGAGAGGCTCTGGGGCTCAGTTACTCTTCTCAGTTCATGATGCTCCACAGAGTCCTGGTGCCTGCAGAGGGAAGGGCAGGGATAGTGTCAGCCACAGCCTCCCAAGATGCCCGAATGTCAGCACAAGTGTAAGAAAAGGAGCCTCCAAGGGCCTTCGGTCCCACCACCTCATATCACAGGGACAGGCCCAAAGTCACAGAGTAGCATTGGTGAGGCAGGAGCCAGGACCTGCAGGGGAGCTGCCAGGAGGGCAGGAGAATCAGCTGCACCTCCCAGGGCACTGTGACTCTCTTGTTCCACCACCTCACCCTCCTGGTTCAGCTCCAGGACTGCCTGCATCTGGCTGTGTTATTTGTGCACTGCATAAAGGCACATTCTGAGGGACAAGTGGAGCTGACATCCAGCCCAAGCCCCTCCAGCCCAGCTGAGAAAGGGGCAGCAAAAGCCATACTGGGTTCCCCTCTGCTCTTAACCCAGGACCCAGCCCCCTGGGTGGGCCAGACCTGGTCCTCCTGGCACACATCTGTCTATGCAGGAGCCTCCCACCAGACCCAGAAGGATCTTTGTCCAGCCAGTGCGTCCTCTGACACTCCGAGCACATCTCAGGATCGGGAAGTGTAGAGGACAGGGTCATTCCCGACATGGCCACTCCTCCTGTGCAGCCACAGGGTTGGAAGTCCCACCAGGCCCTTGTAAAAGTCCAGGGCCCTGGGTCAGACTCACCATCCATTGCACCGAGGCCTGCAGGTAAGGCCCCAGGAGGGTGTGTGCAGTCCTAGCCCCACCCTGGGAAGAGCTACTGGGTGGGGCTCTGGCTGCCAGAGTCTTCCCCAAACTTGCACAGAACCTGTTTTGCAACCCTGGCAGGCTGGAGGCAGGATCCAGGCCAAGAGCTGGTCAGCAGCTGATCCCACCCTTGCCCAACCCCAGCCCCTTCCACTGCCGAAGAGCCCCTGGCAAATAGTATAACTCAGATCGTAGAGGGTGCAGATTGCTAGAACTCAGTTCCAGAAGGTTTCTCCATGATACTGTCATGACTAAAGTACACAGTTTTTGTTTTAGTTTTGTAACTTGATTTTTTAAAACGGTTGCTATACAACAGAATCTAGACCCGTATTTTACAACTTACATAGCTGCTTGCATGTATTTTTAAAGACTTTTTCTTCCCTCAGAGTGCTGATTGGGTTTTGTTTTTTTTCCTGGGAAGTTGGTGGGGGTGGGAGCTACATGGCCCACCTCTTTCCCCAGTAAGATTCTGGTACCAGGGAGGAGGGGAAGACAGCTCGGGCAGCTCAGAAGAGGAAATCTCAGGCCCTAGATGCTCCAGGTTATTGTTAGCAACCCCAGCAGCTCCCAGGAAACCCGCAGGGAGCAGCGGAGGGCAGGGCTGGGCGGGCACAGAGTCCCGACTACACCCAGTGCGGCCTGCCCCCAGCACCGGGAATGCCCCTCCCAGCCTATCGCTCCACTGCAGGCTTCCGCAGCTCCCCAGCCCCTGCGCTCCTGGAGCCTGCCTGCCTCCTGCCCGCCTGCGTGACTCACAGAGGCCCCCTCCCTATCTTTCACTTTCACCCAGCACCCAGAAAGGGAGTAACTTCCTCCTCCATTTCCTTCCTCAGCTCCCAGGCCTTGAAGAGAGTTAGAAAGACCCTCCTCACGTGCAGCCTTTGTCTTCTCATATATGAAACCAGAGGGAGGGAGAGGCACAGAGAGTAGGAGGGAATCCAAGTTACCCTGATCCCCAGCAAGAGGGCGAGTGGGGTGATTCAGACAAGAAGTAGAGAGCTGGGGGCCAGAAAAATAACCTTTCTCTTGCTTTTAAACTCGCTTTCCCTGACAGCCAACCTAATTCAGAGCAGGGACCCAAAATCACACTGGGCACCCCCGTGAAGCTGCAGGGTGGGACCGTCTGGCTCCGCCTCTCCGAGGGAACATCGAGCCCACAGAACTAGAATTGCGTGTCTGCAGAAGCAAGACAGAGGAAGGAAGAATGTGCGCCAGCCTGGCAGGCCCACGTGCCTCCAGGGGGCTGCGAGCCCCTTCAGTGGCCGCTCACATACACTCACGCCTCCCTCTGTCACAGCCCTGTCGCCTTGTGAGCCACAGCACGGGCTTGAGGCCTGGAGCAAAGGAAGGTCCACGTGGCGGGCAGGTCTGGATGCACGTGCCAGTGTGAATCTGATGGCTGTTCCAGCGCCTCTCACAGGAGGAGAAAGGGTAGAGCCAAAAGCTCCAGGACTAGCCTGCTTCTGCCCAGGGCAAAGCGCAGGGGCCAGAGGCCAGACGCAGGTTTTACAGGGGCTTACCCTCAGCTGTATGGTCAGGCCTGGTGGAGCTGGGCTCAGCTGGCCCGCCTCCTACTCTCACCCTGTACATCAAGGAGGGCCATCATTTAGGGCACCACAGCAGCCTCTGAAGCTGAGATAAGAGACTTGCTTTGAAAAAATCAAGGGAGCTGGTATGGGGAAGGCTGAATCACCCCAGAAGCTTCCTGCTGCAGAGGCCTCTCTGTTACCCTCACTGAGGAGCTAAGGATGCCAGGGGCATGGACACTCAGGCCTGAAATCTCAGAGAAGAAAGGTCATTGGCTGGGGGTGGAGAGAAGAGTAGAAGATACTGGCAACGTGGGAGGAAGGCTGGAGGGGCACACCTAGGCAGCAGGGCACTAAGTAGTCACAGGAGTAATGATGATGGTGATGGTGTACCTGTGCCAGGCAAGTTGTACATGCTACATGCTTTGCATCCTTTAAATTCCCACCATGGCCTTATAAAGTAGGTGTTGCAGGTATTTACAGGTTAGCTGGATGAAGCTCAGAGGGGCTATGTAAGTTGCCTATGGTCACACAGTCATTATGAGGCAAGCCAGGACTAGAACCCAGGTCTGTCTAACTCTAAGATCAAGCTCTTCTTCCTTATCCCCAAGACATGCCTCTAAGACCCCAGACCCCTCTTCATACACCTCCCTTCCACAGCACACTCCACACCACCTCCAAGCAAGGGTTTTCTAGACACAGATATCCTTCCTCATTAGCACTGGGAAGCCCCTTACTCCCTGCCTGAACCTTTGGCAGGTGCTCTCTCCCATTCTCCCCAAATACAGTTGAGACCTTTGACTCTACAGGAAGGGGGGGCAGGGAAGGGTCTCACCACAGAGGGGTCAGCAGATGTGTGAGGTCTACCTGCAGGGAGGCCTAAAACACTTCCTCCTGCATTACCCACTCTAGCCCCTGCTCTGGGCCTAGACTCTTCAGCTCCTGCAACCCCACCCCGGGCTAAGTTGCTGCTGGTGGTGCCTCCAGCTCTCAGACCCCATGGGCTCCTCCCAGCCTACAACTCGGGGTCAGGATTATGCCACTTCCTCCCATTTCTTCTATCCCACCCCTACTGCCCTGTCCCTCAGGTGGAAGTCAAACTGCCCTTCCTCACACTGAGGAAGAGGAAGGACAACACCTCCAAAGGCTGCTGAACTACAGGCCTAGTCCCCGAGGTTGCAGGGAAGAGGATGTAATGAGGAACTCCTGCCAGCAGCTCAGCCCTGGGACCAGCTGCAGGGCCTCTGACAACGGATGCAGGAACACTGCAAAGGAAACCCACAGTCACCACGTGGCCCCAGACACTGCAACCTGCCCTGTCAGTCTGTTTGACTGTCTGTCATGCTCTATTCACTTTTCTCTTTCTCCAGGCTCCTCTCTGCTGCAACCAATCCTTGACCAGACCCACAGGTACCCATGGGCCAAAGAGAAGGCAACGGTCAAGATCAAGGCCTGGGATCTAGCAGGCTTTCAGGAAGTTCTATGGTAAGAAGCACTTTCACTCTATATAGGAAAGCAGTGTGCACCAAGAAAACAAAACAGTGCTGACCCCACATCTTTATTTTGCAGACATATGAGGGAAGATACTAGAAAGGCCTCTGGGTGTTCAGTGGTGATGGTGACACCACCTCTTCCGTGATGTCAGCTCAAATACATACTGCTCCCCAAGTGCCATTAGCAGCCCAGCCACATACCCCACACTGGCTGGCCGACCTCAGGAGAAGCCAGTGAGCTATCACCACAGGGCAAGGGGTCAGGCAGTGGCCACAGGAGTACCAAGGACACTCACTAGTCCACTTGGGGCAATCAGTGTGTCCATTTGAGAAGCAAGACTGTTGTGAGTCAAGGTCACATGGGCCAGGGAGGAGATGCTAACTTGATCTCAGCAGCTGCAGGGGCTCAGCTCTGACCTGGGGGTGAGAGTCAACCTGAGGGCCCCTGCCCTTGGAGGCTAATGTTTCAAGCTCCCACTCTTTTGGCCTGGGCCATCCCCGTCCTCACAAGCTCAGCACTAGGAAGAGGGGTGTCAAAGGTCATATGTCTGTCACCCAAGGGCAAGACAGCCTCAAACAAGGCCCTGAGTCTCCAAGTGAGTCAGTTCTCTGAGCTGTCTTAGGACAAAGTCTAAACTCCCTGCTCTGTCCACAAGTCCCTGAAGACCTTGGCTCCCGCCACCTCTCTCAACAGTCCATGCTTGAGCCAGGGCCTCCAACGTGCTCTTCTTGCTTTGTTTCCAGGTCCTTGACCAGGCTGTACCCCTTTCTAGGACATCTTCTCACTCTCTTCATCTGGCCAGGTCCTATTAATCTTTCAGGTTGCAGACACTGCTTCCACCGGGAAACCTTCCCTGACCCCAGAGCTGAGACAGGAGCTGAACTACGAGCCTCTAACACAGTGTGCATGGCACACACAATCCCAGGTGCCTGCTTCGTCATCCCCAGCAGACAGCAGGCTCCACGGGGCAGGGCTGGCAGACCGTTGTACCTTGCACTTGGTTTGTATCTGCCTGTCGGGATGCTCATTCAAGACTGCACCCAAGGTGAGTCAGAACCATGCCTGGGCAGAGGCGACACTCACAGCCAGCATTCCTGCCTTGGGCTCCTGCCTGCTCCTGACTTCTGGGCTCTCTGATGCACATCAGAGCTCCTCAATATGCTGGGATGAAGTGAAAAGGCCCAGCCTGGGACCCCACCCCACCCCTGGCCCCAGTCCCTCTCCACCTATATGGAACACAAATCCTTCTCCCTGC